AACTACAAAAACAAACCCGAAGATAAGAACTCATCCTTTCCAGCTGCACTGACATCATCATTATCATCATCAACCTGGTCAAATCCTGGTCATCATCAGTGCAGTCTTCATCACTACCACCATCACCACCTTTACATTTTAGTCATTTAGCAGACACTCTTATCCAGAGCGTCTTACAGTTAGTGAATACATATATATATAAATATTTTTTATTACTGGCCCCCCGTGGGAAACGAACCCACAACCCTGGCATTGCAAACGCCATGCTCTATCAACTGAGCTACATCCCTGCCGGCCATTACCCTCCCCTACCCTGGACGACTTGTGCGCCGCCCATGAGTCTCCCGGTCGCGGCCAGCTGCGACAGAGCCTGGATTCGAACCAGGATCTCTAGTGGCACAGTTAGCACTGCGATGCAGTGCCTTAGACCACTGCGCCACTCAAGAGACCACCTTCACCACCATCATCACCACCACCTTCACCACCATCATCACCACCATCATCACCACCACCATCACCATCACCATCACTACTACAATCATCACCACAACCATCATTGCTGTAATCTTTAATCCTCATCATAACCCTAATCAAACTGACTGGGTCCACAACATGAGGCTGATTGGTCAAGTATAGGTAGCTAGTCAACCCTTTGATCATGGTAACCACCTTACAGAGGACATGTAGCTTGTTTAGAGAACACTTAGAGCTTCTCGATGTGTAAAGAGCATAAACAGTAGGCTAGTAGTTGACGTGCTCATTTAAATCATATAAAACTCTACTCAGCAAATTGGATGTAGTCTATCACAGTGCCATCCGTTTTGTCTCCAAAGCCCCATACACTACCCACCACTGTGACCTGTACGCTCTTGTTGGCTGGTCCTCACTACATGTTCGTCGTCAAACCCACTGGCTCCAGGCCATCTATAAATCACTGCTAGGCAAATCCCCGCCTTATCTTAGCTCATTGGTCACCATAGCAGCACCCACCCGTAGTCTGCGCTCCAGCAGGTATATCTCACTGGTCATTCCCAAAGCCAACACCTCCTTTGGCCGCCATTCCTTCCAGTTCTCTGCTGCCAATGACTGGAACGAATTGCAAAAATCTCTGAAGCTGGAGACTCTTATCTCCCTCAATAACTTTAAGCATCAGTTGTCAGAGCACCTTACCGATCACTGCACCTGTACACAGCCCATCTGAAATTAGCCCACCCAACTACCTCATCCCTATATTGTTATTTATTTTGCTCTTTTGCACCCCAGTATCTCTATTTGCACATAATCTCTTGCACATCTAGCATTCCAGTGTTAATACTATTGTAATTATTCTGCACTATAGCCTATTTATTGCCTTACCTCCATAACTTGCTACATTTGCACACACTGTATATATATTTTCTGTTGTATTTCTGACTTTATGTTTTTTACCCCATATGTAACTCTGTGTTGTTTTTATTGCACTACTTTGCTTTATCTTGGCCAGGTCGCAGTTGTAAATGAGAACCTGTTCTCAACTGGCTTACCTGGTTAAATAAAGGTGAAATAAAATAAATAAATAAAAAATAAAAACATATATTCCATTTAAATAGATATAATTTAGGCTCTGGTATTCAGTATTGTGGTATATATAATGCTAGTAAAATATGTGTCAATCAATCACTCGGATAGCAATATACACTACAATCAAATCATGATGACAACATCACAAAAAGCAGAATCCCACTAAAGTACAGCCAACAAGGCATTACCCATTCTCCAACATCATTGCTATGTCATCAGTTAATATTCAAATTTGTGCTCTATTCTCTATTTAAGACTCTGGAACTAGCACTGTCACTGCCTGAAGCTTTTTATATGAAGCAATATTTTTACATCATGCAGCACAGGCTAGAGCAAACGCAGTTCATTTCAGACTAAATGAGAGTAACTCAATCAGGGTATTGCTCAGATCATTTGGTTGATGTGGTGAGCCCAAAGCAACCCTGCGTGATTTCCCACCGCACAGTCTGTCAGAACGCATAGACACTGCCTTTAGTCACACAGACAGTAATATGTATCAAGACTCTCGCTCACTCCCTCACACACACACACAGTATTATGGAATAACGCTAGTAAAAATATGTCAATCAATCACTCTGACAGCACACACACACCCTCCTGTCAGTCAATGTATGTATTAATGATTTTGTTGCTTTTTATCATAAATTTCACACAAAAATATATTACACACATTTATAATACAAATAGGGAAACTAGGCTACATCATGATGTTGGCAATATGAAACTGTATAGATTTATGCTATATGACTTTACACAAAAAAAAGAGTAAGCTCATCATTGCTGTTTAGGCTACTAAAATGTCTCTCAGAATTAAATCACAATTGTCCTCTCATTCCTCACTGCTGAATCGTGCTTGAATATGATTCATGCAACCTAAGCACATAGCTGCATGTTATCAAAGGCAGAATAACCACCTAGAAGTGAACACGGACACGCGCACACACATGCACGGACATACGCGCACACACACACAATATACTATAAAACGTTGCTACGGGCTAATTAATAATGCATTGGCACTTCATGTTTATGCAATACACAGGGGGAAAAAACGAGCGGTGGGTATTGTAGATACAAGCTCCCTACATATCACGCCATATTAAAACCATATCTGTAAATAAAACGCTCAAACGTTAAAGTTTGAATATTTACCGCCGATTGAGAGCGCATGCAAGAGAGATAAAGATAGAAAAGTGAGCCTCACATAGGCCTACCTGTTATAGCATTTCCTTTGATTTTGGTTTATGCAGGCTTTAAGGGCTTCATGATAACACGGCACACAGGAAATACAACTGTAGTGCCATGGTGATATGCAAATGAATGGCTCCCGCTGAACGCCAGGATATTTATTATTCATAATTACTCATGTTTATGCAAATGAGGGTATACGGAATGACTGGGTAGAGTGGGGGTTGGGTAAATCTGTCTTTCTATTACAGTAAACATTTGATTAAATTGCTGATTTTCCTATTTCAATGCATACCAGCATGAGTAGGCTAACCTTCTTTCTCAGATAGTCAAATGAACCAATTTTGTATATATTGCCTTGATTGGATATAGGCTAATTAATATCCCTTTTATGTTTAGTCTATAGCCTATCATTTCAGATGGGATGGATCTGAGAAATAGGCTAATACAATTGTTCTCCAAGAGGCCAAGACTCAGCATCCTCAAGAGAAAATTGAAGTCAAATGGAACATTTATTGGAATAATAAAAACGAATCACTATGTGCTGACAGACAGTGCCTAGCAACAACTAACCAATCCTCTCAGCTGATGCTCAGTTTTTGCCCAATTGAATAGCCTACCACTGGGTATGTTATGTTCTCCTTTAGCCAAGAGGCCAGTTTTTGTATGTATCCACACCTACCGATCTTTCCATTTTTACCATTCTTCTTGGCTTCTCTCTCTCTCTCTGTGTCCTTTACAAAAAAAGATTGCCGTCTTGAAACTGCAGTAAAAGTGCAGTCGACTGTGGTATTTTGGACGCAGTTATTGCAGAATAACTGCAGTGTACTCAAGTTGAACTTTAGTTATACTGCACTGTAACGGCAGTTACACTACAGTGTACAGCAATTTTACTGCACTCTGACTGCAATATTTTTTCGTAAGGCGTGTGTGTGAGAGAGAGAGGAGACAGGGTAAGGGTTAAGAGGACTGTTTGCCTTTGATCAACCTGGACTCAGGAGTAGACATACCATAGTAAATCAGGTGTACACCAAATCGTATGATACTGTATGTTACGTTTGGTATGGTATGTATTAATTTGTGGACGTCCATCATCCATTTTGTATGATATGTTACGAATTGAAATTCGTACAATATGTTACGAATTTAAAAAACGTGGCTAACACTAGCGTTAGCTAGGTGGCTAACGTTATATAGGCAGCTAACGTTAGCTAGGCTAGGTGTTAGGGTTAAGGGTCAGGGTTAGCTAACATGCTAAGTAGTTGATAACTTGCTAATTGGCAAAACAAATAATCCGTGATAAAATTCGAACACGCAACCTTTGTTTCCCCTAGGACCGAGGTGATCTTGATTTAAACCAATTAATCCCATTTGTCCTGGATGGTACAGATCACGCATAAATTTCTTTTTGCGCACTTTACCATATATTACGGTATAAAACGTCATCATTAATGGACATGTTGACAAAGAATGAGAAAGCTACTTGCTATGATAGTTATAGATACATTTACATTTTAGTCCTTTAGCAGACGCTCTTATCCAGAGCGACATACAGTTAGTGAGTGTGTACATTTTGTATTTGTATTTTTTTCATACTGGCCCCCGGTGGGAATCGAATCCACAACCCTGGCGTTGCAAACGCCATGCTCTACCAACTGAGCTACACGGGACTACGTAAGGAAGACATCCTGCACAAATGTATAGTTTAGCTATCGAGTTAGCAAGTTAGTTATATCATAACGTGTATACGGATCATCTGGAGTTTGATTAGATAGCTAGCAGGAGCTTTGTTAGCAAGTCGACCCGCTAACGACTGCTCGTGCTAGCCTGTTGCCTTTGCTAGCTACCATCTACTAGCTAGCCACATTTACCAAGTTAAAATGTAAGTTAAGGTTGGAGCATATTTCTTCAATTTACAATGTTATCGTAGCACTAAGATCATGTTTTGTCCATTTCGTTTCAATGGAATTAGGAATATTTTAGTGCTACGATGCTTTTGGGAAACCCAGCCCAGTTGCTTCCTTGAACTAGCTAATAACATTAACATTTACGTCATTTACCACTGTAAAAAAAATAAAAATTTTGCAGACGCTCTTATCCAGAGCGATTTACAAATAGGTGCATTCACCTTAGATCCAGTGGGATCACCACTTAACATTTTTTTTATATTTTGGGTTGGGGTAAGGGGGGGGTAGAAGGATTACTTTATCCTATCCCAGGTATTCCTTAAAGAGGTGGGGTTTCAAATGTCTCCGGAAGGTGGTGAGTGACTCCGTTTTCCATTTAACAGGCAACGCACTGTCCAATGCTATTGTAGGTAGCTAAAGAGATTGCTAGGTAATTTACCTTGCACATGTCATGTTTAGCTGTTGTTCAAGTGTCACTATCTGAGATTCAATGACAATTCTGACAACCTACGTGTTCTGTTATGTGCAGAGCTTTACCATGTTTCACAATAGCTCACAGAAAAAGTTCTGGACATTCGACAATGAAGAAAGTCTGAAACAACTGAGATATGAAGCCAACCAGAAATATTGCAACAAAATGCTTACCAGTGGGAAGGTAAAATGATTTGTAGCATGTTACATTACATGTGATAATGAGCCAGTGTTTCGTCTTTTCCACTACAACTTTGTGATTATAGTTGCTACCTGCTTCCAACGTTGTTGTCGTCTCCCATCCTTTATTTTATCCCTTCCTTAAAAAAAGCCTGGGGTTAGTGACTCCTTGTTCCTGGAGGCTCACGAGGAGGACGTCCTCTTCAGGCACTATGAGAAGAGACTGCTTGACTTCTGTAATGCTTTCAAGCCTGTGATGCCCAAGTCTGTTGTGGTATGTATTTTGTAAGGGTACACCTAATCTCTCATGGAAATATTCTGGGTGTAAACCGAGAGAATCTGGCAGGACTGAATGGGTTGCGTAGGATAAGGCAGCCGTTGTTATGGTGTTTGGGTTTTTCGTCACTGGTTGTTTGGACTGGTTATTTGGACAAATCACGATTTCGCAGGTGTTGGCATCTTAAGAATTTCAGAAGGGGAGGGGACATTCTGCCCATAACTTGCAAAGAGAGAGGGTGGAGCTCCATCTCTTCTCTTAACATGTATGGACCAGAACTTAATCGAGCAGCTGACCAATTATGTGAGACTTTAGTTCTGGTTTAACGGAGATTAGGGTACACCGTAAATCAGACCTAACCGGTTTTATGTAAGTGCTTAACAGTGCAATTATCTCAACAGGGTACAGCCATCATGTATTTCCGGAGATTTTACCTGAACAACTCACTAATGGAATACCACCCCAGAACAATCATGTGAGTAGTCAAGGGCTTGTTTTTGACTAGTCCTCCCAGTCTCTTATATTGAGAAATACAGTAGATAGGCTCCTCTGAGTACTCCTTTTCAGGTAGCTACACTTGATTTCTGAACTCACTGTACATAACCTCCATGTTTCTCCTCCTCTCCTCACATCTTTTCCTTCCTCTGCTCTTTCCTTCCCACCTCTTCCCTGGCTTACCTCTTTTTTCCCCTCGCTTTCAGGCTGACCTGTGCATACCTGTCCTGTAAGGTGGATGAGTTTAACGTGTCCAGCACCCAGTTTGTGGGGAATCTTGTGCAAGAGAGTGCGGCCGGACAGGAGAGGGCTCTGGAGCAGATCTTGGAGTATGAGCTCCTTCTCATTCAGCAGCTCAACTTCCACCTGGTGGTACACACCCCTTACAGACCGATGGAGGGCCTGCTTATAGACCTCAAGGTGGGTGGATGGAGATACTTACCAGATCAATGACGCTCAGTAGAGCTACAGCAGATGAACATAACCCAATGGAGTGTGCTGCTGAGATTTAAAGAGCCATTTTGAAGACTTGTAGCTGTTAATTCTGTAAGAATAGAAAACCAAGCAGGTTAGGCTTCAGATAACAGCCCTGTCTATTGGTGACCTTTACCTCAGACAAGGTATCCTCTTCTGGACAACCCAGAGTCTCTGAGGAAGAGTGCTGATGACTTCCTGACTCGGGCCACCCTGACAGACACTGGCCTGCAGTTTCCCCCGTCTCAGATCGCCATGACGGCCATCCTGAACAGTGCGTCGCGGGCCGGCCTCAGCATGGAGAGGTAGGCCAGCACCAGGGCTCTTGTGTTCTAGACAAGAGCAAGGCCCCGTTTCAGGGGATATGGGCTGAAATGGAACGAGGCCCTAACCAACATGGCCTAGAGAAGTGACAACTAACATACTTTCATAGTGTATTGTAGAGCAGGGTAGTATTCTCATGTTTTCATTAAATGCAGTAATCAATTAAGTTTGTTTTCCCCTTTCTTATAGCTATCTGACAGAATGTTTGGGACTGAAGGAGGACAAAGAGACCCTCTCAAAGATGTACGACGCGATGAGACGTGAGTATTTTTGCCTGCATCGTTGCATTTACCAATTCCAACCACAAGGTGGCAAGCTTGATCAAAGTTGTGACTGCACATCAAAATTCTACGAATGCTGTTCATGGTGTTGTTTCATGGACAATCATTTTCTTTTTCACACAGGGATAAAAACTCTCATGAAAAAGTATGAACTTCCGAAACAAGATGAGGTTAACGCTTACAAAATGAAGCTGGAGAGGGTCCATGCTGACTTTGGCACAAACTCCAACATGTACGTACGTATACAAAACATGCTCTTTCCATGACAGACTGACCAGGTGAATCCAGGTGAAAGCTATGATCTCTTATTGATGTCACTTGTTAAATCCACTTCAATCAGTGTAGATGAAGGGGAAGAGACAGGTTAAAGAAGGATTTTTAAGCCTTGAGACATTAATTTTTTATTTTACCTTTAACTAGGCAAGCCAGTTAAGAACAAATTCTTATTTACAATGACAGCCTACACCTACACATGGATTGTGTATGTGTGCCATTGAGGGTGAATTGGCAAGACAAAAGATTTAAGTGCCTTTGAACGGGGGTATGGTAGTAGGTGCCAGGCGTGCCGTTTTGTGTCAAGAACGGCAACGCTGCTGGGTTTTTCACACTCAACAGTTTCCTGTGTGTATCAAGAATGGTCCACCAACCAAAGGACATCCAGCCAACTGTGGGAAGCATTGGAGCCAACATGGGCCAGCATCCCTGTGGAACGCTTTCGACACCTTGTAGAGTCCATGCCCTGACGATTGAGGCTGTTCTGAGGGTGGGTGGGGGGGGGGGGGGGGAACTCAGTATTAGGAATGTGTTCCTAATGTTTGGTATACTCAGTGTAGCTTCCTTGAATTAATCTGTCGGTTACAAACACATGCAATTATTACATTGCGCAAAAAGAGAGTTTGTAGTTCCATTGGTGCACTACCACACAACTGGGGAGGGAGTTAAGGTAGAAATTATCAGCTGACTTGAGTAATTAATTAATTTTGTGTGATAGGAATGGCTGTCAGGTAAGGAGAGGATATTCTGTTTAAGACCACTTCAGAGTAAATAGTATTGCACAAATGAAGCAATACCTTTCGCCATACATACTAACAGTTTTATTTTGCCAGGTCAATCAAGTGTATCTAAGATGCAAAAGATTCACGGATCTGTCTATCAGGTAGAAAATTCTAAAATAAACACATCCGCTATATGAAATGGAGGAAGCACAACAGTTACATTTGTACATTTTGAAGAAAGGAGTTGTCTCACCCATATCTCAATAGTCTATGAAGACTTGGGTGAGGTCTGTAATCTTCAGTGCATCTAAACTGAGAAACTACAGGTTATTGGCTATCGGTTCCTAGTCTCTGACTTTGAGCTGTTTGGATGAGCAGACGGTGGTTGTACAAAATCAACCAGTTCTCATCCAAATGACAGAGGTTGGTGAATCTGTGCTTGGCCTGCACAGAAGAAATTTGAATGATCTTGGTTAGTGTGGTGTTGGCTTGTATTGCCAAGGAAAGGTGGGCTAGTGAGGGTTACATTGAAGTTGCAAATCTATGAAAGCTTCTGTTGATGAGCCCAGGCTTAAAGGGAGGATTTCTCAGTTCCTTTAGTTTCTCAGGTCCAGACATCAGGTTAGTTTCCATAGGGTTACACATTCACAGGTTACAAATGGGTCCTACAAACTATGTTAAGCTATGATACAAATGTTAACCTATCATACAACTCCATTTAGCCGTCATACAAAAACACTGGTTTTGTCATTCAAGCCTAAGTGTATCCTATCAACAGGTAAAGCAGCATATAAAATATATAGCTAGTAGCATCAGTGTGTGTGTATATATACAGTGGGGAGAACAAGTATTTGATACACTGCCGATTTTGCAGGTTTTCCTACTTACAAAGCATGTAGAGGTCTGTAATTTTTTTCATAGGTACATTTCAACTGTGAGAGACAGAATCTAAAACAAAAATCCAGAAAATCACATTGTATGATTTTTAAGTAATTCATTTGCATTTTATTGCATGACGTAAGTATTTGATCACCTACCAACCAGTAAGAATTCCGGCTCTCACAGACCTGTTAGTTTTTCTTTTAAGAAGCCCTCCTGTTTTCCACTCATGACCTGTATTAACTGCACCTGAACTCGTTACCTGTATAAAAGACACCTGTCCACACACTCAATCAAACAGACTCCAACCTCTCCACAATGGCCAAGACCAGAGAGCTGTGTAAGGACATCAGGGATAAAATTGTAGACCTGCACAAGGCTGGGATGGGCTACAGGACAATAGGCAAGCAGCTTGGTGAGAAGGCAACAACTGTTGGCGCAATTATTAGAAAATGGAAGAAGTTCAAGATGACGGTCAATCACCCTCGGTCTGGGGCTCCATGCAAGATCTCACCTCGTGGGGCATCAATGATCATGAGGAAGGTGAGGGATCAGCCCAGAACTACACGGCAGGACCTGGTCAATGACCTGAAGAGAGCTGGGACCACAGTCTCAAAGAAAACCATTAGTAACACACTACGCCGTCTTGGATTAAAATCCTGCAGCGCACGCAAGGTCCCCCTGTTCAAGCCAGCACATGTCCAGACCCGTCTGAAGTTTGCCAATGACCATCTGGATGATCCAGAGGAGGAATGGGAGAAGGTAATGTGGTCTGATGAGACAAAAATAGAGCTTTTTGGTCTAAACTCCACTCGCCGTGTTTGGAGGAAGAAGAAGGATGAGTACAACCCCAAGAACACCATCCCAACCGTGAAGCATGGAGGTGGAAACATCATTCTTTGGGGATGCTTCCTGCAAAGGGGACAGGACGACTGCACCGTATTGAGGGGAGGATGGATGGGGCCATGTATCGCGAGATCTTGGCCAACAACCTCCTTCCCTCAGTAAGAGCATTGAAGATGGGTCGTGGCTGGGTCTTCCAGCATGACAACGACCCGAAACACACAGCCAGGGCAACTAAGGAGTGGCTCCGTAAGAAGCAGCTCAAGGTCCTGGAGTGGCCTAGTCAGTCTCCAGACCTGAACCCAATAGAAAATCTTTGGAGGGAGCTGAAAGTCCGTATTACCCAGCGACAGCCCCGAAACCTGAAGGATCTGGAGAAGGTCCGTATGGAGGAGTGGGCCAAAATCCCTGCTGCAGTGTGTGCAAACCTGGTCAAGACCTACAGGAAACGTATGATCTCTGTAATTGCAAACAAAGGTTTCTGTACCAAATATTAAGTTCTGCTTTTCTGATGTATCAAATACTTATGTCATGCAATAAAATGCAAATTAATTACTTAAAAATCATACAATGTGATTTTCTGGACTTTTGTTTTAGATTCCGTCTCTCACAGTTGAAGTGTACCTATGATAAAAATTACAGACCTCTACATGCTTTGTAAGTAGGAAAACCTGCAAAATCGGCAGTGTATCAAATACTTGTTCTCCCCACTGTGTGTGTATGTGTATGTATGTGTGTGTATATGTATGTATGTGTATATATATATATATATATATATATATATAATAATTAGTACCAGACAAAAGTTTGGACTTTGTAGAATAATAGTGAAGACATCAAAACTATGAAATAACACATATGGAATGAATTAGTAAGCAAAAAGTGTTAAATCAAAATATATATTTGATTCTTCAAATAACCACCCTTTGCCTTGATGACAGCTTTGCACACTCTTGGCATTCTCTCAACCAGCTTCACCTGGAATGCTTTTTCAACAGTCTTGAAGGAGTTCCCACATATGCTGAGCACTTGTTGGCTGCTTTTCCTTCACTCTGCGGTCCAACTCATCCCAAACCATCTCAATTGGGTGTAGGTCGGGGGATTGTGGAGGCCAGGTCATCTGATGCAGAACTCCATCACTCTCCTTCTTGGGAAAATAGCCCTTACACAGCCTGGAGGTGTGTTGGGTCATTGTCCTGTTGAAAAACAAATGATACTAAGCCCAAACCAGATGGGATGGCGTATCACTGCAGAATGCTGTGGTAGCCATCCTGGTTAAGTGTGCCTTGAATTCTAAATAAATCACAGTGTCACCAACAAAGCACACCCACACCATAACACCAACTCCTCCATGCTTTACGGTGGGGAATACACATGCAGAGATCATCCGTTCACCCACACTGCGTCTCACAAAGACACAACGGTTGGAACCAAAAATCTCCAATTTGGACTCCAGACCAAATTTCCACGGTCTAATGTCCATTGCTCGTGTTTCTTGGCCCAAGCAAGTCTCTTCTTATAATTGGTGTCCTTTAGTAGTGGTTTCTTTGCAGCAATCGATCATGAAGGCCTGGTTCACACAGTCCCCTCTGAACAGTTGATGTTGAGATGCATCTGTTACTTGAACTCTGTAAAGCATTTATTTGGGCTGCAATTTCTGAGGCTGGTAACTCTAATGAACTTATCCTCTGCAGCAGAGGTAACTCTGGATCTTCCAATTCTGTGGTGGTCCTCATGAGAGCCAGTTTCATCATAGCGCTTGATGTTTTTTGCGACTGCACTTGAAGAAACGTTCAAAGTTCTTAATGTTCTGTACTGACTGACCTTCATGTAATGATGAACTGTTGTTTCTCTTTGCTTATTTGAGCTGTTCTTGCCATAATATGGACTTGGTCTTTTACCAAATAGGGCTATCTTCTGTATACCCCCCCTACCTTGTCACAACTGATTGGCTCAAACGCATTAAGAAGGAAAAAAATCCCACAAATGAACTTTTAACAAGGCACACCTGTTAATTGAAATGCATTCCAGGTGACTACCTGATGAAGATGGTTGAGAGAATGCCAAGAGTGTGCAAAGCTGTCATCAAGGCAAAGGGTGGCTATTTGAAGAATCTCAAATATAACATATTTTGATTTGTTTAACACTTTTTTGGTTACATGATTCCATATGTTATTTCATAGTTTTGATGTCTTCACTATTATTCTACAATGTAAAAATAAAAACCGTTGAATGAGTAGGTGTCCAAACTTTTGACTGTGTGTGTGTGTGTGTATATATATATATATATATATATAAATAATATATATAGTATGTATGTATATGTGTATATACATAATATTATATATATATATATATATATATACACACATACATACATTGGGGGGAAAAAAGTATTTAGTCAGCCACCAATTGTGCAAGTTCTCCCACTTAAAAAAATGAGAGGCCTGTAATTTTCATCATAGGTACACGTCAACTATGACAGACAAAATGAGGAAAAAAAATCCAGAAAATCACATTGTAGGATTTTTAATGAATTTATTTGCAAATTATGGTGGAAAATAAGTATTTGGTCACCAACAAACAAGCAAGATTTCTGGCTCTCACAGACCTGTAACTTCTTCTTTAAGAGGCTCCTCTGTCCTCCACTCGTTACCTGTATTAATGGCACCTGTTTGAACTTGTTATCAGTATAAAAGACACCTGTCCACAACCTCAAACAGTCACACTCCAAACTCCACTATGGCCAAGACCAAAGAGCTGTCAAAGGACACCAGAAACAAAATTGTAGACCTGCACCAGGCTGGGAAGACGGAAATCTTGCTTGTTTGTAGGTGACCAAATACTTATTTTCCACCATAATTTGCAAATAAATTCATTAAATGTGATTTTCTGGATTCTTTTTTCTCATTTTGTCTGTCATAGTTGACGTGTACCTATGATGAAAATTACAGGCCTCTCATCTTTTTAAGTGGGAGAACTTGCACAATTGGTGGCTGACTAAATACTTTTCCCCCCACTGTGTGTGTGTGTATATATATATATATATATATAAAGCCAGTGTGAAATGCCATTTTGGTGATAGGAAGAGGTTGGGTTGTAAAATCAAGTAAAGTAGTGGTGTGTAGAATGTGAGTTAAGGCTTGTCTTTCTTGGAGAGGTGCTACATTAGATTTCCCTGAAGGTCATTGTTATCGCTACGGTGTTTTGGCTCGCCTCTGAACCAAGGCCCTCTGGGAAGGTTTCACTGTTGACAAGGAGGCTAAATGTGTAGGGACCTCAAAGGTTCAAGTCAGCCCAAATTCAGGACCAAGGCCAAGCCAATCAACATACAGGAGATGGGCCAGTTTATAGTTTGCTGTGGCTGTCTGTAAGCTATATAACTCTGCCATGTAGGCAAACAGTCTTCAAAGTGTCCTCTTCATGTCTGTCTGATTTGGCCCTCAAGCTTGAAAATAGTTCAGGTTAGCGTTGGGTAAGGAGTTACTCATTATTTCACCAGTGTCTGTTCAAGGGCTTTGGGACTGGTCCAGTCAGTCCCTTTCCCAGATCCAGTCCGTCACTTTCCCATTGCGGGGCTCAGTCTGCCATAATGTATCAATGTCCAGAAAGCTACACGCTCAATACAAATCCACCTAGCTTTCCGGTCCAGCGCTCAATGCCAGTACATGGGCGGGCTGCTTGTTTGTTTGACTGACTGACCTCGTCCCATTGGTAAAATTCACATTACCTGGATGGTGGCAGCCAATGCCATGATGGTGCACTCAGTCCTGCAAGACAAAGTGTACACTGTTGAGAAGGCCTTACATTGACTGTACATCAGTTACATCTTAATGCCATTTATTGACCATGCCACCATAACCCCTTCCACATCCATACATACTGATGAACTCCGGATGGTAACTTCACATGGTGTTTACTGTTGGTGTCATGACACAGATTGTACACTAGACAACGGGGGAGGGGACTGGAGATGTGCATGACATGAAGGGATGATCATGAGGGGCAAACACGAGGAAAACATTGAGGTTTTTGGTCTGCTAAAACATCTTCCAGCAGAACGATCTCAGTGATGATTTACCTTGCTTCAGTCCAATCAGTTAAAGCCTACAGGTTACACAGGTCACCAATACTACATATACCACCCGATTGTGTACTCTTAACATCAGAAAAAGTACAAATATATATTCAATCTCTTTTACAGGAAAAGAAAAAGAGGATCTGAGGATGATGAGCATGTAGCGAAAGAGCCTCGGATGACAGAAGAGGTGAGTCAAAACCACTTCAACACATTGTTGCTACCAGTGCCTCTGATTTTCAGGTCATTAAATAGCTTGCTGTGCTTTCTAGGAGGAGTGGACTGATGAAGATCTGGATGACCTATGAATGATGACGCAAACATTTAGTTTTTTTCACCCAACCCCTTTTGTCACTGAAGGACTGTCAGCAATACTGGCCCTCTCATGGCCTATGGCCTCACAGAAGGTCTACCCAATGTGTGCAAGACTCCACCATTAGAGAGGATTTAGATATTGTATTATCTTTGATATTTTTGAGGCCGTACATTATGCTTTTTCAAAGGTCTTGTCATGTTTTCTGAAAAAAAAAAAAAAAAATCTACATGTTTTATTGTGTCAGGTTTGAAATACAAAATTTGTTTGAATGACTTCATCTCTTATGATGTAGTAAAAATGTGTATATTCCATGGGCATAACATCAATAGGCTCTGTGAGCACAGTGCACTTGCCTAGAGCATTAAGGGACTAACATTCAATACATTTTTGAACAGTTATGATACAAGGCTGCTCTTAAATCTCAAACCTGGGTTTCTAGGCCATAACACAGAGCAAAGACAGTCCCGAAGGCACTTAATCACAAATGACCTGGGGAAGAAAGACTCCATTATCTACTTTACAAAACAACTGTTTAATAAGTGCATGCATGTCTGATACAATCTGTACTATTTAAAGATTTACTGCTGTAAACATTTTCATTAACTAGTTAAAAACTTCTATCTTGTCTGGCATTGAGAAGTTAAGGAAGAATGAACCAAACAAACAATCAATGTCATACAATTGGAAGAAAATAAAAAAAGTTTGTCTGAACTATATACTCATGATTCCAGCAATATTTTTTTTGTTTGTGGATAAAAAACACTTTCTGCAAGAATCTCCAAACTAAAATACAGAGAATGAACCCCAAAATACTGGAGACAAATAGAAAAGCTAGTTTCAGCACTTTGTGGACATTGTCACAACCATAAAATACAGTATAAAAAGCATTACCGCTCATAATCCAGTTAAGAAAAACAGGGTTGACTGTAGCTTCTTCATGTCAGTTGACTTTCCTCATATTGAGCAGGGAGATATACTTTGGCAACCTGTGCTGTGTGGACGAACATGTCTTGGGCATACTTTGAAATAAAATCTTTGACCCTCTTGATGAAGGGGAATGATACCCATACATGTACCCAAGTCACAGAATCATGAACACTTTTCAGAATAAGAAAAAAACATTTCCTGCGCATACAGCAGTCAGTCACTGGTGCAAGTTTAGTTTTTTTTTTTTGCGTTGGTTGTTCAGCTTGCTGTTGCTTTCGTTGCATAGCTCTCCTGGCATGGGCAATGTGGTGGGCGGGACTGTCGGAGGAGGAGATGGGTGGGGGTGGGGGTGGGGATGCCATGGTGATAATTGGAGCATGCTGGGTCAGGTCCTGTGTGCATCTCTGTGCAAGGAGACTGAGGGAGAGAGCGAGAGAGGAGGAGTGCTGTACTACCTGTTGCTGTTGGACATGGCATAGTGAACCTGTTTCTGCTGAAGGAGCTCAGTGATGGCCAGCAGCTTTTTCAGAACGTGCTACAAAGAGAGAGACAAGCGAGACAGAGCCATGGTTTACAATCATGATGACATGGCATGTTTCTGGTACCGATTGTCATATTAAAGGGGAAATCCGCAGTTCTAACAATAAAGTGTGCACCCTGCCCCTGTATTGGTAAAAAGAAGAGGGATTGCCTGGAGAAATATAACCACTAAAATTAATAGACAGAGCTATGGATGCAAGGACTGACCATCCATGATATCAACATTATAGTTTTAACCATGTTTTGAGGCTATTAAGTGTTTGTTTACAATTACTTTGTTCACACAGATTGGAGTGAAACAAGCTTAAATGTTTTGGGTTCTGATGGGGTACGACAGTTGAACTAAGCTCATGAGGAATTTATAAGTTATATTCTTCAAGAATCAATTTAATTAATTCAGAAATCCAAAACTGGATGAAGCAACAGCAGACTGCCCTTTTATCAGAATCAAAAAGCCTTTCTAGCCTTTCAATCACTGCTTGAATGCACTTGCCACACACACTACATGACCAAAAGTATGTGGACACCTGCTCATCGAACATCTCATTCCAAAATCATGGGCATTAATATGGAGTTGGTCCCCCCTTTGCTGCTATAACAGCCTCCACTTGATGTTGGAACATTCCTGCGGGGACTTGCTTCCATTCAGCCACAAGAACATTAGTGAGGTTGGCCACTGATGTTGGGAGATTAGGCCTGGCTCGCAGTCGGCGTTCCATTTCATCCCAAAGGTGTTCGATGGGGTTGAGGTCAGGGCTCTGTGCAGGCCAGTCAAGTTCTTCCACACCCATCTCGACAAACCATTTCTGTCGCTTTTGTACACGGGGGCATTGTCATGCTGAAACAGGAAAGGGCCTTCCCCAAACTGTTGCCACAAATGTGAATGCACAGAATCGTCTAGAATGTCATTGTATGCTGTAGTGTTAAGATTTCCCTTCACTGGAACTAAGGGGCCTAGCCTGAACCATGAAAAACAGCCCCAGACCATTATTTCTCCTCCACCGAACTTTACAGTTGGCACTATGCATTAGGGCAGGTAGCGTTCTCCTGGCATCCTTCAAACCCAGATTCGTCCATTGGACTGCCAGATGGTGAAGCGTTATTCATCACTCCAGAGAATGTGTTTCCACTGCTCCAGAGTCTAATGGTGGCAAACTTTACACCACTCCAGCCGACGCTTGGCATTGCGCATGGTGATCTTAGGCTTGTATGCAGCAGCTCAGCCAAGGAAACCCATTTCATGACGCTCATGACTAACAGTTTTTGTGCTGACGTTGCTTCCAGAGGCAGTTTGAGTGGTGACTGTTGCAAACGAGGAGAGACAATCTTTATGCGCTTCAGCACTCGGCGGTCCCGTTCTGTGAGCTTGTGTGGCCTACCACTTCGTGGCTAAGCAGTTGTTGCTCCTAGACGTCTCCACTTGACAATAACAGCACTTACAGTTGACTGGGGAAGCTCTAGCAGGGCAGAAACTGGACTAACTGACTTGTTGGAAAGGTGGCATCCTATGGTGGTGCCACATTGAAAATCACTGAGCTCGTGAGTAAGGCCTGTCACTGTCAATGTTTGTCTATGGAGATTGCATGGCTGTGTGCTCGATTTTATACACCTGTCAGCAACGGGTGTGTGCTGAAATGGCCAAATCCACTAATTTGAAGGGGTCCACATACTTTTGTATATATAGTGTACATATCTACCTCTATCACTCCAGTATCCCTGCACATTGTAAATCTAGTATTGGAACTGACCCTGTGAATAGCTTCTTACTTTCTCATGTTCTTATTTCTATTTCACATGTTTTTATTCTACCCTGTTATGTTTACTACTACATTGATATTGATTACTGCATTGTTGGGTTTGGAGCTTGCAAGAAAAGCATTTCACTGTACTTGACATTAACTTTTAACACACACCTGCTGTGCTCCCCTCTCGTTGCTCAGGGTGCGGAGGTCGTCTGAGTGTGAGACACAGATCTCATGCAGGGCAGCGAGGTCGCGGGACAGGTCTGTCCTAAAGTGCTCTGTAGCTTCAGGGAGGTCAGGGACATTCTAGAAAGGACCCAAACGCACATACACATTAATGTCTTCCCTAGACATTGGGACAGAGTTTCTATGACGTCTACATGTACCTAATAAGAGTTCCAATGATGTCTAAAGGAAATGACAACAGGTAACCTACACCCAACTCATCCAGAAACATGATCATTCTATGTTTGTTGTTTTTGATGAAGGGGTTCACTCCCTCCATGTAGGGCTCCTGGATTGAAAAGAGGAACACTCCATTACTTTCTGACATATAGACGGTAAAGTTATGAATGGGTGATTTTGTTTTGCATGGCCCCGTGCCCCGAGTAGGTGGAGATTTCACTTAACGATCAATGGAATGGTCTACAATGTACAAACTCTGCCCACCAGGGGTACCGGGCCATGCAAAACGAACTCACCCAATATAATAACTACTGTTCCCTGAACCAGGTACAACTCAAAGCTGTGGAGGATTACACTTTGGTTTGCCTGCGCTTAGATGACACAGGGATACAAACGTCCCCACACTGAACTGTGTAGGGAGCTTTAAGGTGGTCTTACCTTAGCACCAAACTCCACCAGGTTAGCCAGGTTCTGGACAGACTTGGCAACCAGAGTGAGGGTACGTCCCGCTGTTGCAGAGGGAGGGTCTACACAAAAAAGACGAACACACACGGAAATTAAGAAATGTATTGACTTGATCATACTGTTCATTCCAAGCTAAGCAATAATCAATTTCTGCAATACCAAATACAGTTGAAGTCGGAAGTTTACATACACCTTAGCCAAATACATTTAAACTCAGTTGTTTTTCACAGTTCCTGACATTAAATCCTAGTAAAAATTCCCTGTGTTAGGTCAGTTAGGATCACCACTTTATTTTAAGAATGTGAAATGACAGAATAATAGCAGAGATAATTATATATTTCAGCTTTTAGTTCTTTCATCACATTCCCAGTGGGTCAGAAGTTTACATACACTCAATGAGTATTTGGTAGCATTGCCTTTAAATTGTTTAACTTGGGTTAAACGTTTTGGGTAGCCTTCCACAAGCTTCCCACAATAAGTTGGGTGAATTTTGGCCCATTCCTCCTGACAGAGCTGGTGTAACTGAGTCAGGTTTGTAGGCCTCCTTGCTCGCACACGCTTTTTCAGTTCTGCCCACACATTTTCTATAGGATTGAGGTCAAGGCTTTGTGATGGCCACTCCAATACCTTGACTTTGTTGTCCTTAAGCCATTTTGCCACAACTTTGGAAGTATGCTTGGGGTCATTGTCCACTTGGAAGACCCATTTGCGACCAAGCTTTAACTTCCTGACTGATGTCTTGAGATGTTGCTTCAATATATCCACATAATTTTCCTTCCTCATGATGCCATCTATTTTGTGAAGTGCACCAGTCCCTCCTGCAGCAATGCACCCCCACAGCATGACGCTGCCACCTCCGTGCTTCACGGTTGGGATGGTGTTCTTCGGCTTGCAAGCAACCCCCTTTTTCCTCCAAACATAATGATGGTCATTATGGCCAAACAGTTCTATTTTTGTTTCATCAGACCAGAGGACGTTTCTCAAAAAAGTACGATCTTTGTCCCCATGTGCAGTTGCAAACCATAGTCTGGCTTTTTTATGGCGGTTTGGAGCAGTGGCTTCTTCCTTGTTGAGCGGCCTTTCAGGTTATGTCGATATAGGACTCGTTCTACTTTGGATATAGATACTTTTGTACCTGTATCCTCCAGCATCTTCACAAGGTCCTTTGCTGTTGTTCTGGGATTGATCTGCACTTTTCGCACCAAAGTACGTTCATCTCTAGGAGACAGAATGCGTCTCCTTCCTGAGCGGTATGACGGCTGCGTGGTCCCATGGTGTTTATACTTGCGTACTATTGTTTGTACAGATGAACATAGTACCTTCAGGCATTTGGAAATTGCTCCCAAGGATGAACTTGTGGAGGTCTACCATTTTTTTTCTGAGGTCTTGGCTTATTTATTTTGATTTCAAGCAAAGAGGCACTGAGTTTGAAAGTAGGCCTTGAAATACATCCACAGGTACACCTCCAATTGACTCAAATTATGTCAATTAGTCTATCAGAAGCTTCAAAAGCCATTACATCATTTTCGGGAATTTTCCAAGCTGTTTAAAGGCACAGTCAACTTAGTGTATATAAACTTCTGACCCACTGGAATTGTGATACAGTGAATTATAAGTGAAATAATCTGTCTATAAACAATTGTTGGAAAAATGACTTGTGTCATGCACAAAGTAGATGTCCTAACTGACTTGCCAAAACTAGTTTGTTAACAAGAAATGTGTGGAGTGGTTGAAAAACAAGTTTTAATGACTCCAACCTAAGTGTATGTAAACTTCTGACTTCAACTGTACATACCGTGAGGGAAAAAAGTATTTGATCCCCTGCTGATTTTGTACGTTTGCCCACTGACAAAGAAATGATCAGTCTATAATTTTAATGGTAGGTTTATCTGAACAGTGAGAGACAGAATAACATCAAAAAAATCCAGAAAAAACGCATGTCAAAAATGTTATAAATTGATTTGCATTTTAATGAGGGAAATAAGTATTTGACCCCCTCTCAATCAGAAAGATTTCTGTCTCCCAGGTGTCTTTTATACAGGTAACGAGCTGAGATTAGGAGGACACTCTTAAAGGGAGTGCTCCTAATCTCAGCTTGTTACCTGTATAAAAGACACCTGTCCACAGAAGCAATCAATCAATCAGATTCCAAACTCTCCACCATGGCCAAGACCAAAGAGCTCTCCAAGGATGTCAGGGACAAGATTGTAGACCTACACACGGCTGGAATGGGCTACAAGACCATCGCCAAGCAGCTTGGTGAGAAGGTGACAACAGTTGGTACGATTATTCGCAAATGGAAGAAACACAAAAGACCTGTCAATCTCCCTCAGCCTGGGGCTCCATGCAAGATCTCACCTCGTGGAGTTGCAATGATCATGAGAACGGTGAGGAATCAGCCCAGAACTACACGGGAGGATCTTGTCAATGATCTCAAGGCAGCTGGGACCATAGTCACCAAGAAAACAATTGGTAACACACTACGCCGTGAAGGACTGAAATCCTGCAGCACCCGCAAGATCCCCCTGCTCAAGAAAGCACATATACAGGCCCGTCTGAAGTTTGCCAATGAACATCTGAATGATTCAGAGGAGAACTGGGTGAACGTGTTGTGGTCAGATAAGACCAAAATCGAGCTCTTTGGCATCAACTCAACTCGCCGTGTTTGGAGGAGGAGGAATGCTGCCTATGACCCCAAGAACACCATCCCCACCGTCAAACATGGAGGTGGAAACATTATGCTTTGGGGGTGTTTTTCTGCTAAGGGGACAGGACATCTTCACCGCATCAAAGGGACGATGGACGGGGCCATGTACCGTCAAATCTTAGGTGAGAACCTCCTTCCCTCAGCCAAGGCATTGAAAATGGGTTGTGGATGGGTATTCCAGCATGACAATGACCCAAAACACACAGCCAAGGCAACAAAGGAGTGGCTCAAGAAGAAGCCCATTAAGGTCCTGGAGTGGCCTAGCCAGTCTCCAGACCTTAATCCTATAGAAAATCTGTGGAGGGAGCTGAAGGTTCGAGTTGCCAAACGTCAGGCTCGAAACCTTAATGACTTGGAGAAGATCTGCAAAGAGGAGTGGGACAAAATCCCTCCTGAGATGTGTGCAAACCTGGTGGCCAACTACAAGAAACGTCTGACCTCTGTGATTGCCAACAAGGGTTTTGCCACCAAGTACTAAGTCATGTTTTGCAGAGGGGTCAAATACTTATTTCCCTCATTAAAATGCAAATCAATTTATAACATTTTTGACATGCGTTTTCTGGATTTTTTTGTTGTTATTCTGTCTCTCACTGTTCAAATAAACCTACCATTAAAATTATAGACTGATCATGTCTTTGTCAGAGGGCAAACGTACAAAATCAGCAGGGGATCAAATACTTTTTCCCTCACTGTAGAAGGGTTAAAGCTCACCAGCGATGATGTTGAACATTCTTGGGTTGAGGATGGCAGGACAGATCAGTCTCAGGAACACAAAGCCACTGGAAGAGTCAAACAAGAAATCGGTTAAATCAGTACTTCAAATCAAATTGTATTCATCACATGTGCCGAATACAACAGATGTAGACCTTACAGTTAAACATTCCCAAACGTTTCCAATATAGCTCCCCCTTGTGTAAGTCGCTCTGGATAAGAGCGTCTGCTAAATGACTAAAATGTAATGTAAATGTTGACCAAGGGCTGCACCATTCTAATTCTACGGTTTGCCCATACATGAGGCTTGCAGATAAAGTAGATCTATGGTGTGTATAGTTAGTTACCTGACCACCCGGGTTCTCATGGTGGTGTTGGGCCATTTCTGCTGCACTGACTTCTGTAGACACCCATAGATATATCTTAGAGTTCTGGAAGGGTCAATGAGAGAGAGAGAGAGAGAGAGAGAGAGAGAGAGAGCGCGAGTGAGTGAGTGCATGTACTGGAATATGGCTTAAATATACTGTATACATGTCAAACTATCCTATGGATCTACTTTCATGTGTTCAGTTCATTTGTTGGTTTGTATGATGACATAATAGATTGATTGTACAACAGAAGAACGTCATGATATGAGGTTCAAACTATGGAGATGGTTTCTTATTGGCAGTGTATATTTTACCGGCAGAAAATTAATGTCGGTGGGAGGCGGTACTCTAACCCAATGTTACTTTTCCCAAACTATAGCAAAACCTTAACCTGACCCTCGTTCCTAAACCTAACCTTAAGTGATTTCGACCCCTATGCCTAAACTTAAGTTTGCGTTCTGCCGGTCGAATATACACTTCCTTACTTATTAGGGTTGGGCCGATGAACGATGTCATCGGGTGTCGACAATGATTGACAGCCATCGTCGATGAGGACGTCATCGTCGATGACAGACGAAAGCCTATTTACACTTGACAAAGCAGAACAGTACAGACAGTATAGTCAAATTATCAACTGGGATTGAGTAGTCTTTTTGTTAGTCCAAATCAACGAGTCCCGATCGACGATATGACAAAAGTTTATACATCACCCAACCCTAATATCACATGTGGATGGTTCCCGTGTTAGTTTGTTGGTATATGCACCGTGGAGTGGTGTGTGTGGATGTGCTGTGTGTTCTTACGGGGGCAGGATCTCAGCAGCCATGAAGATCTTCTCCACCAGCTCAGACAGGATGAGGAGGAGGTGGGCCAGGTTCAGATGCACATCCTCGTTCTTCTCCAGTTTGGAGGGGTTCAGCTAGAGGGAGGGGGGGAAAGAGATGTTTCATCATAGACATACACTGAGTGTACAAAACATTATGAACACCTGCTCTTTCTATGACAGACTGACCAGGTGAATCCAGGTGAAAGCTATGATCCCTTACTGACGTCACTTGTTAAATCCACTTCAATCAGTGTAGATGAAGGGGAGGACAGAGGTTAAAAAATGATTTGAGACAATTGAGACATAGATTGTATGTGTGCCATTCAGACGGTTTGAGGCTGTTCTGAGGACAAAAGGGGGTGCAACTCAATATTAGGAAGGTGTTCCTAATATTTTGTACACTCAGTGTACTTGTGCTAGTGAACAACATGATTGGCTACATGAGACGTGTCTTCTATCACTAGAGTAGGATTTGATGTTGAAAGCAACTGTACAAGATCAATGTTCAATGCCACAGTGTGTATAATGCCCTCTGTCCCACTAGAAGTCCTGTGAGATCACAACAGAGACTGGGGAATGCCAAGCAGGCACCGAAGTTGAATCTGTGTCATGAGTTACTGTTTTATCTTCTGGGTAGCCAAAGTACTGATATGATGTTACAAACGCCAAGTGCTCCATTCTACTCAGGAGATAACGTGAAGAAATAGCTGGATTGTAGCCGACACACTTCTCTGCTGAAAGAGTTGTGACTAAGGTAACTTTACAGATATTGCTGAAACTATTTTACAAGCCAAAACAGATACAGTAGGTAGAGATGGGCTAAACAAAAACTAAATAAGGCTACCTCCAAGTATGAAAAGCCTTTCTGCATATATAGCAAGTGTGTGTGTGCGTTTACCTCGCAGGACTGCTTGCTCTCCATGATCTTCAGGATGGTGTCTTTGAGGGCGTGGTGGACGAAGGGTGTGGCCGTGGCCTTCATGTACTGCTCCATCAGTGTGCTGGCCAGTGTGGTCGCTCGGAACAGGGTCGTTGCCTCGTCTGGGAAACAGAGAGAGAGGGGACTTCTCATCAGCCAACGGTGTGTGTGTCTCGATCATAGCTTTCACGTTGAAATCACATTATACACAATCTGCCTCCAAGCATCTACAAATAGAGATACTTCAGGATGACAAAGAGCCACCCAAAGGGAAATGCTCTATGTCACTAAAATAACATGATGCCACTACAACAATAGATTATCTGTAAATATTCATCTCAATATGTTTGTCTTACCCTCCATGTTGATCTCTCGGTCGTTGAGTGTCCTGAGTAGCGGGGCCTCTGTCTTCTCGTGTCTGAAGATACGCAGCAGGATGCTGGCCAGCAGGGTGCGGTCCTGCCCACACACATGGGCCAGAGCATAGATCACATGGAACTCCTTCAGCAGGATCAGCTGTGGGACACGGACAGATGGACGGAAGGACAGACGGGGTCAATGTCAGTGATGTATTGTAAAAACAAGTGGCCGATCATTTACACTTCTCTTTTTCCAGGACACGTACTCTGCACGTCACAATATATTGTGTATTATTCCTTGTTTTGGTGTCTCACTGAGTATGTGCTGGTCATTTCGCTGCACCTGCGATAACATCTGCAAATCTGTGTGCGCGACCAATAAACTTTGATTTGACTAATGTTAATAGTTCATTAATGAATTAATTCATCATCTTCATTAATAGGGTGTGTCTGACCTCTTTGAACTCGCTGTACTCCTCCTCAGGCATGATCTTCTCCATGGAGTAGCGGGCTCGCACCCTCAGGGAGCCCGGCTCGATGCCCTTCAGAGGCACGTGGGAGCTCAGAGGGAACCACTCGTCTATCATCTGGCCCTTCTGCAGGCGGCTCAGCTGGCAACGCATGAACACTGATGCAGAGGGAGACAGAGATGGAGATTGAGTGGAACACAGAGGCACTAACACAATGCAGCAAATAATTTCTCTCATATCGATATGGAATGGGATTATAAAAGGAGAGAGTGTTTGAGATAGATTGCGATCTAGTCCAAGTAGAACGGAGACTCACAGATGTCACTTTCTTTGCTCTTCTTTGTCTTGTTGCTCAGGCTGATTTCAAACCTGTTGATTTCACTCGACAAGTCACTGAGGGGAAAAAAAAAATATTGTCTGTCAATGTAAGGAACCCAAACATGATTCGACAGCTAATCATTGTATCAATGCAATAGTATGGCCATATTATTACTAAGTGCAGTGAGGAGTTATGGTATAAGTTATAGTATACGGAAGCCAAATACAAATGTCAATTTCACCCTAAATTGCCAATGAATGGAGTTGTAAAAGGAACTGACTCAAAGATGAACTCCTCTGTGAAGACGGGGTTCTGACCCTCTCTGGGGTGGGTCTTGGCCACCTGCACATTGTTCAGGTAGATGTTGCAGTAGGGGTTGGTGAAGTGCTTCACAGGCAGCTTGTGGGCCTCCTCCACGTACAGGACCAGGCTGCTCACCTGACGGGACACAAACACATCAGGACAACAGACAATTACTCAGGGCATCTGATGCCTCAGTTGGCTGGAGTAAAGTGCATGGAACACCATAGTAGTGGGTTTGAATAATATCAAATGACCATATCGGTAAACAATCTTTCTTTTAAAAGAGATGAGATGAGTGATGCATTGGGTGTTATTCTTTGGGGAGTTGAGGCCCAACTTGCATTTCAAGATTCAATACTGTATTGCCATATCAAAACACATTTGTTAGGAATTTGATTTATTAAACATACATTTGTGGCAAATGCATTTTCTGAAATGCACAATACAAAACAGCATTTGACTGGAATTGCCAGTGTTTGTACCTGTCGGAGCCTCTTGTTGGGAGTGGGCTGGGTGGGTTTCCTAAGGTTACTGCAGAACGTCTGCAGACATTTCATCCAGTCCTACAGAGAGGAAAGAACACTGTTAAGACTTAAGAATGGTGTGACTGTGACAGAACATCCACAATCAGTCATAGAGCGAGGGAGACAGACAGATAGACAGAGCGATCAGTACAAACCTGTGCCTGTTCAGGAGTCTCGCCAGCGAAGTAGAATATGTACTGTTCCTCACTAAAGTGCTGGACCACAACTTGGAAACAGTTTGGCCTGCAAACAAGAACAGGAGCAGCCAGGTATTACCGAACAAGTACGTACCCAATCGAATGTCTCCAACTGATCAAACTCAGAATGTATCAAATTCAGACTGGGGAGAACTAAGGACAAAACTCTGCCCAACATGGCTACAATTGTTTTGACATTTTAGTCATTTTACAGATGCTCTTATCCAGAGTGAATTACAATTAATGCATTCATCTTAAGATAGCTAGCTGAGACAACCACATATCACAGTCGTAGTAAGTACATTTTCCCTCAATAAAGTAGTTATTATTATGTTATTTTGCAATGATTCGTTCTTATCACAGTCCATGTCCACACAGATGTAGGTGGAGTGTCTCACCTGCCAAACAGACTGTCGTGCACACCGTACACAGAGCACACACTCAGGTCAATCAGGCCTTTGGGTTTGGTGGCTCTCTTCTCACTCTCAAAGTAGATGAGCTGGGCGTCGTTCCCCTCCAGGATGAAGTAGAGGTTCTTCCACCGCTTGCCTTTGCCTGGAGGAGGGGAGAGGAGAGGGGAGAAGACATCAGGCCAATTCCCCAATTCTCTCTCATCTGCCTGCACTTGTTCACTCCCTCTCAAGTTTAGGGGAGAGTTTCCACCATATTTAATACACCAGTCCTTTCCTTTTAAATCCTAGAGGGGTAGTATATCAGTGACCACTTCAGGGAGAAGTAGGAGTGATGAAATGGGCTAAGGTCTAGATTACATTTACAGACATTTGAGATTACATTCCCCGCGGAGAAATCATCTAAGCGTAAAAAACATATGGGTAACTCAGTGGCCTTGTGGTTAGAGTGTCTGCCCTGAGATTGGAAGGTTGTGAGCCGAGTCACACCAAAGACTGTAAAAATAAATGGGACCTGAAGAGTCTCTCCTTGGCACTCAGCATTAAGGAGATAGACTGGGGGTAAGGCCCTGCCATAGACTAGTGTCCTGTCCAGGGGGTGTACTTGTATATCAATCTGCCTCACGCTATAGAAAGAGGATATAGGCTCCTGTCCTACTGTATGAGCCGTTCCGGGCTGCTTACTTACCTTTGTTGAATTGGAGGTAGCCTTTCTTGACAATGTTTTTGTAGAACGCGTCTTTCGTTTTCCGTCTGATGGTGTTATATATCTCCTTGCCGTCCACCAAGTCTGAGAGCACTTGTTCCTGGTGCTGAAATATATGAACATGAATGTCAATAAAACAACACAATTAATGAAATACCTGTAAATCTATAGCCTTCTCAAACTGATATGACAGGAGTCGCACCACTATGGAGGTGTCTGGACTCAGGCTTACCTGCACTGACACAGCATCTTTCAGGTTGTAGCCCTCCACGATCTGCTCTTTCTTATAATGGTCAATAATGTCATCAACACTGTCAGAGAGAGAAGAGACAGAGCATAGCAGTTATTTCTACTGACCAGCAATGACCATCATACTCTGTCATAACGCTTCAGACTTATAGTATTTAGTACTTTCTGTATAAGCTATATTTCTATGTGGGACTGTAAACCTGGATATCACAAAATCTTTATAAGATTACAGGTAAGGCCACAGGGTTTCCCTGACCAGAAAAGTTATTTTCTGATTCTATTGAACGCCTCCCTCATGGTTCATGATTATTGCACTGGGAGACATTATGAGGCCCCGTCACACGTACCTGTTGTAGTACCTCCCCCCCATCATGTACTGATTGTTGGGGGTGGGGCATATCTTAAACCTTTGGATGTTCTCATTGGTGCGAAAAAACAGGGAGTAGTCCCCGGGTGTGTTGTCTGACGGCCGCACCAGGAAGCTGCACACTTGACCAACTGATTGAGAGAGAGAAATTCAACACTGTTATTGTTGGCATTAACATGTTTAGTATTGACGTTTTACTACCAATACATTATTGGAACATATATTTCAGCAACAGAAAATATTTGTTGTTATCAAGATCACATAGAAATGGGAACATAATCCCACTGTGTTATGTTCCTCAGTGAGTAGAATGTAATATGTAGAGACAGCGAGAGTGTAGTGGTACCCGTCATCAGAAGGTTATAATGAGGATAATGTAATATGTAGAGTATAGTGGTACCCCTCATCAGAAGGTTATAATGAGGATCATGTAATATGTAGAGTATAGTGGTACCCCTCATCAGAAGGTTATAGTGAGGATAATGTAATATGTAGAGTATAGTGGTACCCGTCATCAGAAGGTTATAATGAGGATAATGTAATATGTAGAGTATAGTGGTACCCCTCATCAGAAGGTTATAATGAGGACAATGTAATATGTAGAGTATAGAGGTACCCGTCATCAGAAGGTTATAATGAGGATAATGTAATATGTAGAGTATAGTGGTACCTGTCATCAGAAGGTTATAATGAGGACAATGTAATATGTAGAGTATAGAGGTACCCGTCATCAGAAGGTTATAGTGAGGATAATGTAATATGTAGAGTATAGTGGTACCCGTCATCAGAAGGTTATAGTGAGGATAATGTCATATGTAAAGTATAGTGCAGCAGTTCCCAAACTAGGGGTCACAACCCCACGTGGGGTAGCCTGATATGAAAATGGGGTCGCGGGGAGAATTTCCAAAATCCTGGTAAAAATACATTTTAAAAACATGTAATATCGTCTTTGTCTCTCAAAATCATTGTGATGTGGTTAACCTTAATCTAAATTAAAAGTATTCAAATCTAAAAGTTACAATTCAACTAGAGAACACCCTTAGGTCGTGGGAAAAGGCCACACTTGACCGTTGCACTTGAATCATTCCCACGGTGAATGGCTAGGCCCACTATGCTATGAAACCACACACTATTGCAGAGACGTTGATATAACCGGCAGCAATTGATATGGTGAAAACAATGTGTGGGGAGGCAGAGGCACAGAAACTCACATCAATACCTTTGTCAGATAACACTGAAACTAATAATTGATGCTATAGCTAGCAATAAAGAGGAAACGCTGATTGAACGACAAACTCCCCACCTTATGCTCTCCAAATGATCTTTAGCTGTGAGTGCCGAGATACCCATGCATTTACTTTTATTAGCTACATGTGAGGACATATTGTTTCGTTTCACGATTCCCGAGCATGAAACTGCACAGGGGATGTTCAGTGTGCTATGTGCCTATATTGATGAAAAACAGATTCCATGGGATCGAATCATGGGTTTTTTCAAAGATGGGGCTCCATCTATCACGGGACGACAGGCAGGTCTCTGCACTCTAGATATGAATGTGTCTCCCTCTGCCATATGGAAGCATTGTATGATACACCCACTGAGCTATAATGGATACACAGAGCGCAACTGGCGGCAAAAAAACTCAGATATACAGCAGGTAACTTCTAATGTAAACTACATCGCGCACGCCTGTTCGCAAAACTATCAGAGCATGACAATGTTCTATTTCACACCGAGGCTTGGTGGGAGTGTTGGAAAGATGTTTTGAATTGAGAGAGGAACTGTTGTCATTCGTAATGGATGTAAAAAACGGACTTTGTTGACTTTCTGTGTAATGAAAATAACATTTGTCTCCTTGCCTGTGTAACAGACATACAGTGCCGTAGAAATGTATTCGCCCCCTTTCTCATTTTGCATATTTTTGATACTGAGTGTTATCAGATCTTCAACCAAAACCTACTATTAGATAAAGGGAACCTGAGAACAAATAACACAACAATTACACTTATTTCATTTATTTTATAAGTAAAGTTATGCAACACCCAATCCCCCTGTGAGAAAAAGTAAATGCCCCCTTACACTCAATAACTGGTTGTGCCACCTTTAGCGGCAATGACTCCAACCAAACACTTCCTGTAGTTGATGATCAGTCTCTCACGTCGCTGTGGAGGAATTTTGAACCACTCTTCCATGCAGAACTGCTGTAACTCAGCGACATTTGTGGGTTTTCCAGCATGAACTGCTCGTTTCAAGTCCTGCCACAACATCTCAATTGGGATTAGGTCTGGACTTTCACTTGGCCATTCCAAAATGTCAAATGTGTTGCTTGTTAGCCATTTTCATGTAGATTTGATTGTGTGTTTTGGATCATTGTCTTGCTGCATGACCCAGCTGTGCTTCAGCTTTAGCTCACAGATGGATGGCCTGACATTCTCCTGTAGAACTCGCTGATACAGAGCAGAATTCATGGTTCCTTCTATTAAGGCAAGTTATCCAGGTCCTGAGGCAGCAAAGCATCCCCAAACCATCACGCTACCACCATCACCATGTTTGACCGTTGCTATGAGGTTCTTACTGTGGAATGCAGTGTTTGGTTTTCGCCAGGCACAATGGGACCCATGTCTCAGGACCTGGATGACTTGCCTTAATAGAAGGAACCATGAATTCTGCTCTGTATCAGAGTTCTACAGGAGAATGTCAGGCCATCTGTCTGTGAGCGCAGATGGGTCATGCAGCAAGACAATGTATGAAAAATTTATGTACTCACTAACTGTAAGTCGCTCTGGATAAGAGCGTCTGCTAAATGCCTAAAATTTAAATGTACATGAAAATGGCTAAAAAGCAACACATTTGAAGTTTTGGAATGGCCTAGTCAAAGTCCAGACCTAATCCCAATTGAGATGTTGTGGCAGGACTTGAAACGAGCAGTTCATGGTTAAAAACCCACAAATGTCGCTGAGTTAAAGCAGTTCTGCATGCAAGAGTGGGCCAAAACTACAGGAAGCGTTTGGTTGGAGTCATTGCCGCTAAAGGTGGCACAACCAGTTATTGAGTGTAAGGGGGCATTTACTTTTTCTCACAGGGGGATTGGGTGTTGCATAACTTTACTTATAAAATAAATGAAATAAGTGTGTAATTGTTGTGTTATTTGTTCTCAGGTTCCCTTTATCTAATATTAGGTTTTGGTTGAAGATCTGATAACATTCAGTATAAAAAATATGCATAAATAGAGAAAATTAGAAAGGGGGCAATTACTTTTTCATAGCACTGTATTTGGGAAACTGAACGCAAACATGCAGGGGAAATAAAAAGCAATTCTACAGATGAGTGACTGAATCAGCGAAATCCGTTTGATTGTGATCTTGGCTCAGTTAACATGCCGGTAAGTGAAATCAAAACAGCTGATCGAGCTGTGTCGTGACCGAATGCTGCAGACAACGCATTCATGGGTCACTATGGAGGAGTTACTGACTCAAAAGGGAATACTGTGCCGTCTCCATCCGAGCATTAAAACTCATGGTACGCTGATTCAGTGCTTTCGTCTGCATTAAAAACAAATATCGATCCAGGTTGGAAGGTTATAGTGAGGGTAATGTAATATGTAGAGTATAGTGGTACCTGTCATCAGAAGGTTATAGTGAGGATAATGTAGAGTATAGTGGTACCTGTCATCAGAAGGTTATAGGCCTCCTGTTTGCTGATCTTGCCGTGATACCAGCTACAGACAGGATGAGGATGGACCATTGGATATAAAGAGAGAGGGAAAGAAAACCGACAGATCAATATGTGCTGGGTTTAAAGGGGCAGTGAGGGGTTTTAGAATGGTCAGGTCAGTCTGTAATGATGAATCACAACTTGATAGATCCTGTTAGACTTGGCAATTGTGAACTCCCATCAGGTGAACAGCAAGTCACTGCTCAGACATGGGCCAATGTTAGTTATTCTATGGACATCTCATCCCAAATCCTAAATTACTGGGTAACATCACAAAGCAACCTTAGTCTGTGAATTAATTAACAGAAAAAAACTTTTTTTTTTTTTTAATGGATGTTTGATTTGTGAAATCTATTTTTCACATTTTACAGTCCGTCTTTGGGAGGCTGGCAAACAAAAAAACACACCTAGATATACAGCCTGATTGATTGTGTTTGTGTCGGAGTCCCTAACTAGGTCATTGTTAGAGATTCGCTGAGCCGCATGGATGCAAACATGGATTATGTTAACGTACACCACACTACCCTTCCCATTCCTGCACAACAGGAAAACATCCTTTGGATAGAAGATATGGTAACCATTGGTTGCGTGCATAGAGGCAGCCAGAAGGCAGGGATATAATGAACCCAATGGTAGGCTGTCTAAAAATATGAGCTAAACAGCCATTTTCACAAATGAAGCTCTCCTATTGGTTGATGTTCTGCGGGGGGTTTGGATAGTATGGCCACCTAGGAGAAAAAACGGAATCCGAACTTACACTTTGCCCTCATGTGGGTCCTCCTCCCGTCCCTGAAAACAAGAACAATGTTCAGTTCAACAAATCAGTGGAGAAGTAATGACAAATGTAAAAAGACAAAGTCTAAAAATACTTATAAATGGCTACCATTGCCACTTGGGTAAAAAATTTAATAAAAAGTTGAGAGAAGACGTTTTCAAATGGCAAACCACAGTTGTGTCCCAAATGGTACCCTATTCCCTATAGTAGTTCACTACATAGTGTACCGTTTGGGGCACAACCCAAGTGAATGATGTCAGGTTAGGGCTGATCCTAAACCTGTGCAGAGCAGGCAGAGTGCTGTCCTTCGACTCACCACCTCCTTCACTAGGTCCTCTACGATGAGGCCCTGCTCCTCCGTCCTCACATTGGTCACCCACATCCAGCCGTCATCCAGTTCATTGTGAACGATAAACATGTCCCCTTTCAGGAAGCTGACAGAGAGGACGAACAACAGCTCAATGTTTTGCTACACATGTACTTACACTTGCATCTCCTGTTACACAAAAAAAACTGTGCACAAAAAACAACACTGTTCTTTTCAATAATGATTGTCTATGTAGTTAAGAGATCTAACGGCTGTGAGGTTCCTTGAGGCTTGACAGCTAATCGGCGACTGAACTACACTACATGGCCAAAAGTATGTGGACAGCCCTTCAAATTAGTGTATTTGGCGATTTCAGCCACACCCGTTGCTGACAGGTGTATAAAATTGAGCACACAGCCACGCAATCTCCATTGACAAACACTGGCTGTAGAATGACCCTTACTGAAGAACTCAGTGACCTTTAACGTGGCACCGTCATAAGATCCCACCTTTCCAACAAGTCAGCTCATCAAATTTCTGCCCTGCTAGAGCTGCCCCGGTAAACTGTAAGTACTGTTATTGTGAAGTGGAAACATCTAGGAGCAACAACGGCTCAGCCGCGAAATGGTAGGCCACACAAGCGCACAGAGCTGGACCGCCGAGTGCTGAAGCCTCTGCCTCTGGAAGTAACGTCAGCACAATAACTGTTTGTCGGGAGCTTCATGAAATGGGTTTCCATGGCCGAGCAGCTGCACACAAGGCTAAGATCACTATGCGTAATGCCAAGCGTCGGCTGGAGTGGTGTACAGCTCGCCGCAATTGGACTCTGGAGCAGTGGAAACGTGTTCTCTGGAGTGATGACTCACGCTCCACCATCTCGCAGTCCGACAGAGGAATCTGGGTTTGGCGGATGCCAGGACAACGCTACTTGCCTGACTGCATAGTGCCAACTATAGAGTTTGGTGGAGGAATAATGGTCTGAAACTGTTTTTCATGGTTCGGGCTAGGCCCCTCAGTTCCAGTGAAGGGAAATCTTAACGCTACAGCATACAATGGCATTCTAGATGATTCTGTGCTTCCAACTTTGTGGCAACAGTTTGGGGAAAGCCCTTTCCTGTTTCAGCATGACAATGTGCACAAAGCGAGGTCCATACAGAAATGGTTTGTCAAGATCGGTGAGGAAGAACTTGACTGGCCTGCACAGAGCCCTGACCTCAACCCCATTGAACGCCTTAGGGATGAATTGGAACACAGACTGCGAGCCAGGCCTAATCACCCAACATCAGCGCCCAACCTCACTAATGCTCTTGTGGCTGAATGGAAGCAAGTCCCCGCAGCAATGTTTGGGTGTAGTACCACCAATGATCCACAAGGTGTATCCTGTAAACTACACAACACCATTGTAAAGAAAGATTGCATGGTTCTATCCAGCCAGCTAAGTCTGAACTAGCAGTGTCTCTGTGTTAAGGCTTGGATTCAGACAGATGTTTCTCAAATCTGACGAAGAATAGCCACACTCAACTGTTAGTGTGCTGGGTCTTACTAAATCACAGGGAGAGGTCTGTTTTTGTATTATTCAGATTATGTGCTCTCCAGTGCTCTCCTTCAACAGGGCAAACATGCACTCAGATTCCACAAATGTGTCTTTGTACGTTTCTTGTAGGGCTTACCTGATCTCATCGGTCTCTGGCACTTTGGTGTATGGAAGAATGGATCTCACTCTCCTCCTGTCCTCTACAGGCTACACACACGGGCACAGACAGACACAAGCACACTATTAAACACTGAACTGCAATATTAACCAATGCTTCCACTAAAATCTTCATATCTTCAACCCCCCCTCAGCGTTCCAAATTAAAGTATTTGACTAGACACCCTCCAGGACATCCCCTCATTAGTATTTTGCCTGGCTTCTCTCCTGAAAGTGGTTATGAAATATGGCCTGGGGCGTACGGGAAGTTGGACAGATATCTCCCCAGACACAGTGCCTTCAGAAAGTATTCATACTTTCCTTCCAACATTTTGTTGTGTTATAGCCCGAATTCAAAATTGATTAAATATTATTTTTATTCTCACTGTGACGATGTGGATTTTTGCCCACTTGCCACAAACATGCACATTGTCTAATCTGGCCATTAGGCTGTATTTTAAAATAGCACGTTCTATTTCTCTTATGCATTTAGCCTTTTCTCTCTAGCTGCATTATACTGCACTACTATATTATTATTTAGCTCCTTTGTTAGCAGTAAGCTACTGTTTGTAGTTCATGCCCAGTTCGGTAGGAAAATGTTTGTATGGAAAGGTATTTCGTATTAAATCGGTTTCACATATAAATATAGCCTACCAGAGTGAAATTTATTTTTTATTTTTTTTCAGTATTACTTTAGTGCCTTGTTGCAAACAGGATGCATGTTTTGGAATATTTTTTGGACAGGCTTCCTTCTTTTCACTCCGTCAATTAGGTTAGTATTGTGGAGTAAATACTAATACTCCCGAGTGGCGCAGTGCTAGCTGTGCCACTGGTTCGAATCCAGGCTCTGTTGTAGCCGGCCGCAACCGGGAGACCAATGGGGCGGCGCACAATTGGCCCAGCGTCGTCTAGGGTAGGGGAGGGAATGGCCGGCAGGGAGGTAGCTCAGTTGTTAGAGCATGGCGTTTGCAACGCCAGGGTTGTGGGTTCAATTCCCACGGGGGGCCAGTATAAAAAAATAAATAAAAAATGTATGCACTGTAAGTGGCTCTGGATAAGAGCGTCTGCTAAATGACGTAAATGTAATGTAAATGAGTAACTACAATGTTGTTGGTCCATCCTCAGTTTTCTCCTATCACAGCCATTAAACTCTACCCATTTTAAAGTCAACATTGGCCTCATGGTGAAATCTCTGAGCGGTTTCCTTCCTCTCCGGCAACTGAGTTAGGAAGGACACCTGTATCTTTGTAGTGACTGGGTGTATTGATACACCATCCAAAGTGTAATTAATAACTTCACCATGCTCAAAAGGGATATTCAATGTCTGCTTTTTAAATGTTTACCCATTTACCAATAGGTGCCCTTCTTTGCGAGGCATTGGAAAACCTCTCTGGTCTTTGTGGTTGAATCTGTTTGAAATTCACTGCTTGACTGAGGGACCTTACAGATAATTGTATGTGTGGGGTACAGAGATGAGGTAGTCATTCAAAAATCATGTTAAACACTACTGCCCACAGAGTGAGTCAATGCAACTTATGTAAGTTGTTAAGCAGATTTTTACTCCTGAACTTATTTAGGCTTGCCATAACAAAGAGGTTGAATACTTATTGCCTCAAGACACTTCAGCTTTTCATTTGTTATTAATAGGTAAACATTTCTAAAAACATAATTCTACTTTGACATTATGGTGTATTATGTGTAGGCCAGTGACCAACAATCTCAATGTAATCCATTTTAAATCCAGCCTGTAACACAACTAAATGTGAAAAAGGTCAAGGGGTGTGAATACACTGTACATCGAATATGTGGGGGGAAAAAAGTCTAACCTCCGTTTCTACTAGAGTGTAATGGAATCTTACCTCTGGGGGCGCCACGGGCGATAGCAGCTTTTCACCTTTCAGCAGGCAAGACACGTAGCTGTAATAACCAATCAGGTCCGACAGGGACGAGAACCGACGCCCGCCAATGTAATAGTCTCCACACATGGCGATTATCCTGTAAACATGCACAGATACACAGAGCACACTGTCAAAATGATTTGTTAAGCAAAACATGCAGCGTGCAGAAAATATGAAGTATGAAAATACAAATAGGCCTAAACTAAATTGAACAATTCAAAATCAGCAGACATAACTAGGCTACACTTTCCACATAACTACTCAAACCATCAAAAAGTACAAGAGCAGAACAGCACAGTGCTAAAATTAGGCCCAGTTGCCCTGGGATCTATGAAACAAAAGGAGAAGACATGCATTACACTATCATGACTCAACTGATTATAGTCTGGTGTGAAATTACTCCAGTAATGATGACAATGACATGATTAAAGTCTTGGCGAGCCAGCTAACAGTGGGGAGCCCAGAATAATCCTTCAGTCTCAGCTCATCTGTTGAGCAAATCTCTGTCTTGACTGTATTGTACTGTAGATTAGACAGCATTCAAGGACATCTTCCCATGGTTAGACTATTGTTTAACCTTTCCTTCCTAATACCATTCCACAAGGGTTTCCAGCATCAATGCTATCATGTCTCTGTAAAGCAATGCTGTGAATGAGATGATGTCATCTTTTCCCTGTACGTTAATCAATCATCTATTGAAATGCTTAGTGTTGATCTGGTCTAGGAGGGGCTGATGTCATGAATGCAGGCCTTATCGACAGGTCTATCGAACTCATTGGAATGAATACAGTTGAATACACAATGCACAAAGGTATTAATAAATAATATATGCCATTTTATCAAAGCGACTTACATGCATACATACATTTTACGTATGGGTGGTCCCGGGAATTTAACCCACTACCCTGGCGTTGCAAGCGCCATGCTCTACCAACTGAGCTACAAAGGACCACAGTCTTGTGGACATAGAGCCTAGGTAGGGCAGGCAGAACTGCTATTTGTGGATGGATGTATGCATGCAGGTTCTGACTAACATCCACTCTCACAGCCTCAGAAAGCCACCCAAAGCACTTAAGAAACCAGGAAAACTTTTCACACACCAGGAGTGCGGTGAAAAGAAGGTCATTACTTCTCCACATTTCAGTAGATGGGAGTGGGTAGAGTGTCGTTAGGGGCTAATGTCTGATGGAGATCCAATACAAAAGGTGAGGGGGTGGAGGTAATGTCCTGTCTGCTGGTAATCGGAAACTGAGACATGGTTGCCGGGCCGTCCACCCACGCACCCCTCTGTCAAAGACAAGTCTCTTGCCTCCAACCACGCACATGCCCCAAAAAAGCCAGCAATAGGATCCTGAATGTTATGTCTTTAACATCTGCATTAGCTCACTTTCTGTTCTACTCTGTGATGCAGGCTGTTGGAGACATGGTGGCTAAGGCTATAGACTATGCAGTATTCATAGCTTCTGTATCTGTAACCGACGGGGGACGATTTAGGTCATGGGATAACGGCTCATTTCTTATTTGGGTTTCGAGCTGAAAAAGTAGCAGAACCATCGGTCTACAAAAAGGATTGTAGCCGACGTTATGCAGGTCATGAAGACCTACTTTTGTGTCTGTGCGATCGACCTGCAGTAGCCTGCATCATGACTATTGCATTGTGAATGAATTAACTCAGTGTGTGTGTGCTCAGTGTGTGTGTGCTCAGTGTGTGTGTGCTCAGTGTGTGTGTGCGCGAGTGCATGCTTTGACTGACCTGAAGTGGTTGACCACGCTGGTCATGCTGAGGAAGGACAGGACAAAGGAGCCGGGCCGGCGGTCACTCTCCCTGATGAGGTAGCTGCCAGGGGTCCTGGCCTGCCGCAACCGCTCCTCAGCAATGGTCCGGTCCAGCTTCCCATGGTACCACCTAAAACACACACAAACACAAGGAGGGAGGGAGGGAGGGACATAGTCAACCTTGGATGCCTAGGCCTGCATTTACACTATTTTGGCCTCTCTATTCAGCTTGCAATTTTATCATTTTTTTCTCTCTCTGGGAGACATTGTCAACACTAAGGCTGTGTTCTATGAAGCATAACACCTCAGAGAACTCGAGGGGGGAGGGACATACGCACAGTAACACACAAACAGTCTTTATGTAGGCTTGTTGCACGGCGTGACATTAGCCAGAATGTTATTCAAACACACTTCAAAGTGGAATTTCGAGAACAACACTATCTGTGCTGCAAAAATAATCAGCCTAATAGCCACGCAAGTTCAAATTGGGTTCACGTTGTAAACAATATGAATAATTAAAAATCACTGAATTTATGATCAAATGTGCTGCAGTGTCATTCAGAAATTGCCTTCTTACCACATACACCCAAACACCCACTCCCTTGTTCACCCCATCTATCATTAGCTTAGGCTAGGCTATTCCATTCAGTCACATTAACTCTTTCGGTAGCTGACTTTTCACTACATCTCAAACCATTCTCAGTTTGTTACAGTCATCCACTCCCACACGCATAGACTCAATGGAGTCACATATTCAATGAACATTTAACTTGTTGGTCCATTCATTAGTTATCATTCAGTGGTTAACACTCATTAATTTTGTCCACCATGTCTCCTAAAGGTCTGAATCAAGAGTTTGATATTAGACCATTTCTTCTTTACTAACACTCATTCATAATCATAAGAAGAAGAACAACAACACAGGGATTCTTTGTGACTGATTCATGGCAAACAAATAGGCCTAGCCTGCTGCTCAAAAGAACCCTGCATTAGGCTGGGTCTGTTATGTTCTAGTCTTGACTTGGGACTAGGCTTTGTTTTGGGGTTCTTGGTCCCTCAGAGATAGTCTACGGCCTTGCTGTTGGACTTGATAGAATGCCCTTGTCTAGTCTACACAAAACTAGATAACAGACTAAAATGCCAGCAAACTATGCTAGCCAAAACAAGTAGGGATCACCAATAATCAGGTTCCGTGTTTAAAAAAAGACACTGAGTTTGAGAAAGCGTGTCTAGGACTCTAGGGTCAATTCTCAAGTCAACAGCGAGTGTGAGCATAACATTACATTGACATCTTCTGAAATATTAAGCTAGAAAGAAACTGCACTCTAAGATTTTAGTCTCTAGTCTACCTATAGAGGAGCCACTAAAACAGGCGAGAGCAGTGGAACGGAGCGTAAACGATAAAAGCTTTTTAAGCTTCCGCCGCACCATTAAAAGCAGACTGCTTTTTGAATTAAACAGAAGCTTTTATAACACTGGTAAAAGTTTCAGCAGGTCACCGACTTAACGCTCCCGCCAGATGGGGGAAACATTTACACGCTGGCCCAGATTTTGGGCTAGCGCCTCAGAACACGGGACCTGGGGAGGTGAGATGAATGAGTTGCTACAGTAGTTATTTTCACACAGAACTTTAAGGGCTCCCATCTGGCTTAGAGGAGCAGGGGTATGCTCCTGTAAAAAAAGAATGAGAGTGATGAAGTCTGTGGTGTGGAGGTAGGCGTGCTGTGGAGGGGGAAAGGGGCCAGTGGAGCTCCTGGGAGGGGGTTAGGAGACTGGCAGGCTGAAGGTTTTGTGTGATGGAGAGATTATTGAGGAAGACAGACGTGAGAAGTGAGTGTGTGATTGAGAGACTGCTAAATAGTTAACCTAATAGCTGCCCAGACTATCTGCATTGACCCTTTTTGCACTAACTCCTTTGACTCATCACATTCGCTGCTGCTACTGTTTATTATCTATCCTGTTGCCTAGTCACTTTACCCCTACCTATATCTGCGTATCTACCTCAATTACCTCGTACTGGTACCCCGTCATGTATATAGGGGCATGGAGACATGACTATAGTACAGCAGAGAGGAGTGTCTCGCATACAAATGGTGCGGCGGAAGCTAAATGTTGGCCTGAACCAACAGTGTTGCTGTTGAATTGGACGTTCAGGTCTTCCTAGAGCTCAGGCTCATTAATAAGACGCTCCAAACAGCTGAGAGAACGAGGCAGCCGTCGGAGGGAGAGAGAACTCACTCTGCTGTCAGTCAGAGGTTTGCTGACTTAGCATCTTTCCAACACTTCTGCCCAAACTAAAAAGGTATATTTCGGTTTGTTTTGGAACTTACACTATATATTGAAAAGTCGGGTTTGTCAAGTGTCTAAGCAGGCCTAAGCCTACTGTAATTTCAAACTCTGAAAGAACTGCTGAAATTGATTCATGATCATTCTCATTTCAAATGCATCTTTCCTAGAGTATAGGGAACCATATTATTCACCCAACTTTTGCATAGAGCAATTATCCTGCCCGTCTCAATCATCTGAAACGACAACACAATAACAGCAGAGGAAGGAGTCTGAGTCATTTGGTGTTTGCCTACGCACACTGTCTGCTTTATAGCTTGGGTCAAAGAACATCAGCACAACCGGCCCCTCCTGCAAACACTAAAGCACAAACCTACACAGATACCGGGGCTGTGATTCCACTAAAGATGCAGCAGCTCCAGGTTAAGAGGATTCATTTTTGCTGTTTTTTTTTCTCTACATCTCCACTATTTTAGCTCACGGCTGTTTCTTTCATTATTTATTTATCCTGCAACTATTATCCCCTCAGCCTGTACAGGGAACATAACACACGGCTTGCCAACACACGCATTACCTGCATCATGAGATGTGTGCACAGAGCATCCTCTCATCATCATACTTTACAGGCCAGAAGACAGTGGGGGTTCCATCCTGAGGAAGCAGAGGGAGAGCTGTGCATTGATGGGCTTCCTTATGAAACCTTCCAGTGAGGCTAGGGTCAAAGGACTGCACTATAAAAGGTCCACAGTAAACTCAGTGCTGCTGTGCAGATTCACAGTGAGTAGAGTGGAAATGCTAAGGCAGGTCGGTTCCTACAGTGAAACTCCCCCAGGCTGTGTCTGTCTGCCTTCCTGAGCTGAGCTGTACTGGCCAGCCGTGGCTTGGACAGATGTCCAGGTTTGCTAAACTACACTGTAGCTGCACTGGAGAGAATTGAATTGTCTTAGATCAGAACTGTCTGTCTGTCTAGCGGTTAGTCATTATGGTGTCTGATGGTGGATGTCTAGAAAGAGATGGCTGATGATTAGCCTAGGGTCCAAGGTGTGAACGTTTTCTGTGGTCAATTTCTTGCATACATTCTAAAAGTTTAACTCTTGCAGATGTTTGATTGTTATTGAATAATTTGAGTGTTCCTTTTTAGTGTTAGACTTCGATGCTTGTCATATTTTTAATTGCACCACCCGTCATAAGTGTTCCACCCCCGCCACGTCTGAAAACGCTTTTGTGTGTGCAAGTTAATTAATTGCAGAGAGGTGAGTGTGTAGAAAAACTTTCCATTTCCAATACTTAAAATTCAAACGTCTATAAATATTCCACCGACCTGTGCAATAACCAGCCACAAGTTACTCAAGCTACTGCACACAGTAACTTTCAAAGCAACAAAAGCATGGAAACTAAGCAATATGTTTTATCAACATTAAGAAGTTGTTACAGGCTATGAACAATGCGGTCCTCACTATAGTACAAGCTTATTTTTTATAGGTGTACGTTAGCACGTTTTGGGGGATGGGCAGAGGCCGGGGTTAGCCAGGGTGTTGCAATAAATGGGGTATGAACATAACCCACGACAGCAGCGATAGGACGCGCTGGTTTTATCAGCCTGAGGAATGCCTCGTCGTGTTGGTGCATGAATCAAGAGCAGCACAGTGACTCTCTGCTCTGGCTGTTTCTACTGGAAACCACAGCAATACCCTTAAAAAAGCCTAAAATAAGGCTGCTCTGTCTCCTGCATCCTGTGCAGTGTGCACTAAAAGAACAACCTGAACTTGTCAACAATAAAACTGACTGGTCATGCAAACATGAATGTCCTTCACCCAATAGGCTAGGTAAAAAGCAAAACAAACTTCTGCGAAAACATGCAGATCTGTCCCCTGACATAGTAGGAGAGAGCACTGTCTGCAAAGCCTGCACCCTTTCACCCACACAGCCTGCACCCTTCCACCCACACAGCCTGCACCCTTCCACCCACACAGCCTGCACCCTTCCACCCACACAGCCTGCACCCTTCCACCCACACAGCCTGCACCCTTCCACCCACACAGCCTGCACCCTTCCACCCACACAGTGGAAGCAGGCACTCTCCTCTCAGAGTCTTGGTACCCCTCTCTCACAGGAAGCCCAGGTACAGTGAGTTACATCACCACATGACAGCAGGCAATAGAGGGTCCTTCACTTCAACAACATGATAGAAGAGGGCCTCCATTTCCAGCATGTGACACATGCCGCTGGCACGAAGTGAAAAAGCAAGACTAATTTAATGCAAAGTCGGAAATTCACACCACTCATGAGAAAAAGAGTCTGGTAGATGTAGTGTTGAGGACTAGATGGCTCCATGCTGACAGACTTTCACACAGAGCATAGTGTGGGCAGACAGAGGTGGTGGCTGCTGTAATGATGTGTCATGACAGTTTCGGAAGGAAGCATAACTATCATATTATTTAAAACCTCTGTTTGAGTCATCAGTGTGTATCAGGTGTTTTGCACATAGCCGGTACGCTACATTGAATCCTGAGAGGATTAACCAATTCTCAATTAGCTAAGTGGGTAAGTGGTGGGAAAGATAGGTGGCAGTGCTTGAATAATATGACAATATAACAGTTTTCACCTATGAAACCAATGTGCAAGAGTATTCAGGGCAATATGAACAAGCTGAAACCCTGCAATTTTCTCAAAAGTATTTCTGAAGACTATATAGAACAAATGCAGACTATTGCATTGGATTCCCAGGGTGCTGACGTTCACAGTTACAATAGCAATTTTCAAACCATTGAATGCTTCATTTGGACTGACAACCTGTGGAAGGGTTTCTGCCACAGGAGACTACAGGGTGAGAACATTGTCATT